GAGTTAACCTAACATCAGGTACCTCTGATGTGCCGTGGGGAGAAGGGCATGGTGTCATCTGTGAAGGATTCTTCCCCTAAATGCTTGATGCAATATAGTCAAGTTTTTAGATTTAACTTTTAGTTTATAGGAAGTACAGGATAGAGAAGCAAGTTAAATGACACCATGAGGAGCCAGACCAATCCAGTATTGCTTTTAAATGAATTTGCATTTTATGAATCACCCTCACATTTACCTTACCCCCCAGAGCCACTAGGGCATGTGCACTGCACTTGGTGGGCAGAGAGAGCTTGTCCACATGTTGCGGGCCCCTTGTGGTAACTGCTGCTCTTGGGAAATCCTAGGACACTGTAGACTATAGTTTCTTTGACAGGATCATATTGCAGCTTGCACGGCTTCTTAATAAATATAGGAATTTAGCTCACAGATGTGTCAGTCTGCCACCTTTAAGAAACACTGAATTCACTTAGTTGAAGTGTAAGGATGAAGGATGGAAAATTGATCGTGTCCTAAATATTTAACTTACAGCAATTTATGTGTTTTGCAGTAGAGTGGAAAGAACTGGAAAATCGGCACTGTTTGATTTGGTGCCAGCTTATGATTAATTTGTTTTCTGGTTTTGCTATTCCTGAAACTGGTTTTCCAGAAACATTCTGGGATTCAGTTGTTTCATCACGGCCGTGTATTTATTGAGTGGTCATTGTTTCAACTTTAATTTATTATTGATCTTTCAGGCCCACAGCAGCAGAACTTTTAAAATGCAAATTCTTCCAGAAAGCCAAGGTAACATGCTTAAAACCCCACGTAAATCTGCTATTTTGAAATCACTATGAATTTCTATGTGTGATATTTGGTGTTAAACTGTTGGGAATATTTATTTTGCAGAACAGAGAGTACCTGATTGAAAAGCTGCTTACAAGAACACCAGACATAGCCCAAAGAGCCAAAAAGGTAAGCATCAATAGTCTTTGTGACCCAGCATGGGCTCCTCCCCACCCGGGGATATGAAGCCCACAGACAAATATGAAAAACATTGCCACATACTCAGGATGTGTTATTTAGAGGCTATCTGATTAGCAATTCCTCATATAGCTGCATTTTGCCTTTTGGCTATCTCTGGCTTGTTGTGAATGCATTTGTGGAAACAGTGTGAAACTTGAATGATTTCGTACTTTCCATTTTTCAGCTTTGCTTAAAGAAGGTCGGAGGGGAGGGGATTGTGATGAGGTATGAACATTGGAGAGGTGAAAGATCCTTGAATATCTTTCTTTTGAATTTTATAGAAGAGGGGGCAGTCATTTTGAAGCAGCTTGAAATGATGAAAACGAAAATCAAAATCTGTTTTCAATGGCTATCTTATTTTTAATCCGATTTTATTTACAAATTGAGTTATCTTGAGTATCTGGAATATTGGTTCTTTCCTCATCAAAGACCCTGGCCCCTCTTGTAGTTTACCTGATGTTAACTGAATTATGTTAATGATTACCTGCAAAAGTTTCCATTCTTGGTTTTAGATTTTTAAAATGGTGTGTATGTGTGAGTGTATTTATTTACGTATTTATCCAGAGTTTTATTTTTTTTGTAATTACTGATTTCATTATGGTATGAAACCTAACAAAATTTAACCTCTGGTTTGGTTTAATTTGGTTTTAAAATTATGTTAGATATTTATAATTTAAAGTATTTATGTAATCACAGATTTAGAAAGGAAGGTTCCTCCCCCTCCTTTTATGGTTAATAGTTATAGGGAAAGCCGATATGAATCTGAGGTATATGCTCTGAAATAAAACTGGCAGAGGAATATGCGTTCGAGATTGCATCTCATCATGCCTCAGTGAAGTAACTCTGAATGTTGCATTCCAGACGTTGCCTTTCCTAAAGGCTCAGTAAGAAGTACATTTAGCGGATGCCTTAAAATTATTTGAAACAGATTTAAAAATAGATTTTAAGAAATGACCCACTGTGGGAAAGAAAAAAAAAAAAAAAGGAGCGGGGGTGCCTGGGTAGCTCAATTGGTTGAGCTACTGTCTCTTGATTTTGGCTCAGGTCATGATCCCAGGGTTGTGGACTCGAGCCCCCATCAGGCTCCATGCCAAGCATGGAGTCTGCTTGGGATTCTCTCTCTCTCTCTCTCTCTCTCTCTCTCTCTCTCTCTGTCCCTCCCCCGCCACCCCCCTCCTCTGCTCACATGCTCTCTCTCTCTCTCTCTAAAATAAATTTAAAAAAATAAAAAAGAAGCGACCCACTCTGTGTAGGTGTGCGACTACCTCCCTGGGGCCAGCAGGATTCTCTCTGGGGTGTGGGATCTTAGCATAGGGCTTTAAAAAAAATTTTTTTTTAAGTTTATTTATTCGTTTTGAGAGAGAGAGAGAGGCCATGCACACGTGCACACACATGAGCATGGGAGGGGCAGAGCAACCACCTAGGTGGTCCCAGCATGAGGCTTTTGATCAGGCATCTAAAGTGTTGAGTTGAAAAACACTGTTAGGGAGCCATTGGCTTGTTCCATTTGTGAGGTCCTCAGAGAACATTTTTGTTGGTCTCTGCTTGTTTCACTGTTTTTTTCTGGTCTCATCCTGTAGCTGTTCCCTCAAGAGGGAGTTTGCCAGGTGTATTTTCTCTCCAGAGCTTTATTTAGCTTCACACCCCCCAGTCCCTCCCTGTCAGGTGGCCTGCCGGCCTCTCAGGTACAGTGGTTTTCCTCCCCTCCCAAACCTAATCTTCTTGTGTTCTGTGTTTCTGCCTGAGTTACCCAACCTCAGGACACTGGGATTATTTTTGTGTTTGAGACCTCCCTTTTCCCTGTCCTCCCTGTCTTCCTCCTTTCTATTCCTTCTTAGATGTTACCACAGGATTTACTTTCTGATCGTGTCACCTAATTGCTTAAAAGTGGTTCCCAAAATTAAAGATAACTCCAAGAGCAAATAAGTGAAAAATAAAGTTCCTATCAAATAGAGGCCAACCTCCTTAGCCTCGAATTCATGGCACCCTTTCAACATCCAGCCTCACATTCTAAACTCCAGCTCAAGTCAACCACCTGTAGTTCTCACTCTGTCTACTTTCCTCACTAACATATGCTTTCCTTTGAGAGTCTGTCATTTGGGAAAAGTGAAGAAACTCTCCAGGCTCTGGCTTTATTTTCTTTCTTTTTTTTTTTTTTTTTTTTATTTTTGGGACAGAGAGAGACAGAGCATGAACGGGCGAGGGGCAGAGAGAGAGGGAGACATAGAATCGTAAACAGGCTCCAGGCTCTGAGCCATCAGCCCAGAGCCCGACGCGGGGCTCGAACTCACGGACCACGAGATCGTGACCTGGCTGAAGTCGGATGCTTAACCGACTGCGCCACCCAGGCGCCCCTATTTTCTTTCTTTTAAAAAAATATTTAAGTTATCTATTACATGTTAGTGTTCTTTGCATTCCACATCCCATTTTGCATGTATCGTAAACAGTAAGCAGCTAGAGTTTGGGGACCTGTGATATTTCAAGCATGTCTTCTGCCATTTACTTATTTCTGGGTTTTAGACTTAACTCTCAGGCTTGTTCTGTCATCCATCCCTTCAGGTGGAAAGTGGCTGCCCATCTTGGAGTCAGAGAAGTGTAAAGGGAGAATATGTTAGTTCTTTAAACATCATATAGAAAAGAGAGTGTGGGGCGCCTGGGTGGCTCAGTCGTTTGGTGTCCGACTTGGGCTTGTGTCATGATCTCACGGCTTGTGAGTCCGGGCCCCACGTCAGGCTCTGTGCTGACAGCCCAAAGCCTGGAGCCTACTTCGGATTCTGTATCTCCCCCTCTCTGCCCCTTCCCCAGCTCACACTCTGTCTGTGTCTGTCTGTCTGTCTCTCTCAAAAATAAATAAACATTAAAAAAATTAAAAAAAAAAAGAGTGGCCCATAGTAATGTTATTCTTGCTCTCTAGCTTCATCAAGTCTGCTGTTTTCATGTTACAATTCTCATTTTAAAGTTTATCCATTTTGAGAGAGAGGGAGAGAGAAAGAGTGCGCATGCAGGCAGAGAGAGTACTAAGCAGACTCCAAGCTGTCAGCACAGTCCTGATGTGGGGCTTGATCTCAGGAAGTGTGAGATCATGACCTGAACTGAAATCAAGAGTTGGTTGTTTAACCGACTAAGCCACCCAGCCACCCCTATTAATTCTCATTTTAAATTGCACCTTGGTTATTAGCTACACTCCTCTCCTTGCCCATAGGCTCCATGGCAGGTATGCTGACCAGAACATCAATCACAGTGCGTGTCTTGCTCATATCAAGTGCCCACAAATGTTTGCTAACTCAGTGAACACATATGCTTGAGTGTACCAAGGAAAGGCCATTTTTTTTTTTTATTCACCTAAAATGCTTGACATACACTTGTTCCTAGGATTCCCGTTAATAGCAGACAAACCTCCCTCTCTCCTTGGTGTGCATGATGTTGGTAAGCGACTATGCTGTTCCTTATTTGAAACTTATCCTGCAGCCTTGGCCGCTTGGAAGTAAATATTATTTTAATCACCGTGAGCATTGAAAACCTTTGTTGTAGGATGTCTTTGCTTGTCTTAGGTTCTTATAGTGTTTATGTATATCCAGTGTAAAAGTTGGTATGGGAGAGTTTTTCGTGTTGTGTCATCCATTTTTGGACTTCTCTTTATTGACATTCATTCAGCTGCTTATTTTCCTGGTTGATCATGTTCTAGTTTCCTGGTGTAGATTTGTTCCTCAGAGGCTACTTGTTGCTGTTGGTCCTTTGATTTTTGTCTCAATTTGTTGTTTAAAAAATAGAAAAAACATGGGGAGCCTGGGTGGCTCAGTTGGTTGAGCATCTGCCTTTGGCTCAGGTCATGATCTCACAGTTTGTGAGTTCGAGCCACGCGTCGCCAATGTGCTGACAGCTCGGAGCCTGGAGCCTGCTTCGGATTCTGTGTCTCCCTCTCTCTCTGCCCCTCCCCCACTCGTGCTCTGTCTCTCTGTCTCTCTCTCAAAAATAAATAAACGTTATTTTTTTTTTAAATAGAAACAGAGAATCCATTGATATTACCAGTGTTTACATGGAAACTGGGCCTGTTGACCAAGTTCTGGACATTGAGGCAACCTGTGTTGATTTGAAATTTGTTATCATAAACAACAGTTTCGGCTTCTCCTCCCTAATAGTAACAAAAATTAAGAGATATCTTTAAATATGTGTTTTTTTTAAAACATGAATAATTCTCATATTTAAAAGAGAAAGGGGCCAGTTGTAGCTGTCCTCACAGAGCCCACCAGCGCTGTCCTTTGGCACTAGAGAGGTAGAGGCCTGTCACATTCACGTTTGGCCAGAATGTGAAGCATTAGTCGGGGGCCATGGGTAGGTGATCTTGTCTTCATCCTGAGTGATTCCTCTAAATCAGAAAGAAAAAAAAAAATCAGTGTGGCTTTCCTGGTAATTTAGTGACATAAAATGATTATGTGTGTGTGTGGTCATTGCTGAAATTAGGAATATTTGTTTTTATCCTGGAGGCATAGTATTTGGTCCATTTGGGGCTCTTTTTTGCTGACAGACAGTGTTGCTTAGGGATCATCTTGATTTTTGTTTACCCTAATTTTTCTCTGAAATGGAAATTCTGTCTGACTTCAGGCATGTGGTGAAGGGTAATGAGAGATTTGGGGTTCCTGGACCACAAGATAGTCTGTGAATTCTAAATGAGAATGTGCTAATAATGACCCATGAGAACAAGGTTAAGTACACCTATAATTTCTTTTCAACTCTTCACCTATCCTTGTGCATGAGAAGAAAAGGCCTCATAGCTGTTAACTCCTTCTCATGTGACTTTTTAGGGGCTTGTCTCCAGCCGTCTTTAGGGGTTTGAATGCTTGAACGTGAGGTGTTCCACTGTGTGGGGAAGAGTGTACATCCTTCTGCCAGAAATGAATCTGATGCTTAGGGCTGTGTGCATTTTCTGTAGGACCATTTAAGTGTCAGAGTTGGTTTGTGTCTCTGCTTTATGTTAGTGATGCGAACATTGACTCACACCTTCTGTAGCTAAAACCCACTGATGGCAGGAGAAGGGCAAAGAGTTAGTAGCTCTACAGATAACTAGATGCCAACTGCTTAACCAGAAAGCATATTGGCCAGAGAAGGGATGAAGTCGGGGAAGCGCCACACACTGTTGTTTCTGTGGCAGTTGCCGTGTTTTCATGGGAAGAGGAATCACTGGAGGGTTTTTATTGGAATTTTCTCGATTTTGAAATTGAGAAGTTACAAATGATTAGTCGCTGTCAGAAGGAAAGACATGTATCACTGCTGCATTTGGATGGAACAATTATGGATTGAAAAAAGTAGTGTGGTATTTGTGGGTCCCAGAATTTCTTGTATCAGGCTGTAAGTTTGGCTTCGTATTAAGGACCCGGGGAGTTGACTTCATCTGATCCTCCCATGTGCTTAGAAATAAATGGGTAGGAATTGTTACAGTTCATACTTATTTAATACTTAATGTGTGTTCATGATTTGTCCTTTCTGGTTTTACTTGTCATTTTGAAATAACTTTGGGCTTAGAAAAATTTACAAAAATAGCACAAAACATTTCTGTATTTTCTCTCTCTCTTTTGAAACATTTCAGAGTTATAGACATAATGCCCTTTATCTTTAAATATTACTTCAGTGAACATTCCCTCAAAACAAAGGCATTCTCTTACAGAACGGTATAATTATCAAAATCAGGAAGCTAACATTGACACAGTGCTATTACTTAATGTTCAGATCTTGTACAGATTTTGCCAGTTTTGCCACTGGTCATGTATCTGGCCCAGGGTCCAGTCCAGAATCGTATAGTTGTTGTCTACCTTTGTCTCCTTTCTTCTGGAATACACTTTACTTTTCTCTTACTGACAGTCACACTTTTGAAGAATACAGACCATTTATTGGGTAGAATGGCACTCAGTTGGGTTTTTTTCTGCTGTTTCTTTGTGATTACCTTCAGTTTATGCATCTTTTTCCAGAAATACCTTGGAATGATGCTGTGTTCTTCTCAGCATAGCACGTTGAGAGCCACATGATGCCGGTTTATGCCGGTTTATTCCTTTACTGGTGATGTTAACTTTGGTCACACGTTTAAGGTGGCGCCTGCCAGCTTCTTCACTGTAATAAACACAATCACTTCTTAATAGGAGAAATAACATTTTTTTCATTATATTAAACATTAAAAGGTAAAGTGAACATACTTACTGTACAGGGTCCTTAGCCTTTTTTCAAGGAAAAAGGCTTTATGCCACTGTGGTTGCTTTATGCTTTATGCCACTGTGGTTGTACATTCATAGGATATTAAAGGTAAGAATTCCCTGTGATTTCTAACCAATGTTTTGCATAAGGAACACTTGACTAGAGTGTGATGTTTAGATTTAGCTAGGGAGTAGGAATGGTATCTGGTCTGGAAGCAGCAGTAGCTGGATCTTTGTCCTTCACTGGGTGAGCTGGCTCATCTCTCTGAGCCCAGTGTGTCAAATGGAGCCAAGGACACTTACTGTGTGTTGCCGTGACGATGAGAGACGATCTGTGCAGGATGTCTAGCACTGTGTTTGACACGTCGTGAGCGCTCAGTCCAACACAGGCTGCCGTGACTATCTTGTAAATAAGGAATGATTATTGTGGCTACATAGGTGGAAAATTTAGAAGTAGGCAGTGAAATAGGGAGCAAGGGGGGTCCTGGGAGTTGGGCAGGTGAAGTGGGTGATGAAGTGGGTGATGAAGTGGGTTTCTGTTGCTGTTGGTCTGGATGGGATGGAGAAGAAGCCCATGGAAAAGTAAAGAAAGAAGGAGAAGGACAACAACCATTATTTCATTGCTGTTGCCTATTCACATCTTCATGTTTTCTTTTCTGCCCCAGCGAGGTGCTGGCAGTGGGCAAAAGCCAGCAAATTTACTGCAGCCAATCCTCTCTACCGTGAGAAAGAAGCACTGTGTGCGTTTGTGCGTATGTGTGTGTGTGTGTGTGTGTGTGTGTGTGTGAGAAGACCAAAGAATATTGAGAACCAAATACACACAGCTGATACTCATTTACAGCTTTTAGATCACTTCTGCGTATGCTTCCTTATGTATTCTAAACAACCATGCCTGAAAACAGGTTGGGCAGCTGTTATCCTTACACTTTGCAGTTGAAGGTGTGAGAGGTGAACTGACTTGTCCGAAGTCACACGGCTAATTAGAGGCAGTTCTTATTTCTGGTTCTGTGCTCTTTGCACCAGATCATACCTCAGAAGGAAGAAGAGCAGCGAGAGGGTAGAAAGGAAACATAGATGGAGAAGGTGGGCAGTGTGAGAGGGTCTAAGTAGGAAAAGGGGAGGTGCCTTTGTCCTTCTCCCCAGCAGGTAGTCTTCCATGTAACAATGTAACACATGCCATTATTGAGCACCAGGAGATGCCGTAAACATCATTGTAGGACTCTGAAGCTTGCCAGGGTTTCAGCAGAGGTGGGGGGTGTAAGGTGGTAAGTGGGCTTTGGAGGTTCTGAAGGGAAGAGAGTTGGCTAGTGGGAGTTTGATAGCATCAACAGTCGTCACAGCCTGCCAGAAGCTCAGCTTCTCATTCATGAAACGGGGTAAGTAATGAAAGTAACGATACCTACGTGTGTTTTTCAGGTACGGCGTAGGAAGCGTGTGACACGGGTTGGTTGGCACAAAATAATAAATGGCACTAGTTATAATCATAGTGAGTTTTATTATTATAATCACACATATTGCGTTATTATTACAGTTTTATTATTATAATGTCATTATTTTTTGTTTTTTAATTTTTTTTTTCAACGTTTATTTATTTTTGGGACAGAGAGAGACAGAGCATGAACGGGGGAGGGGCAGAGAGAGGGAGACACAGAATCGGAAACAGGCTCCAGGCTCCGAGCCATCAGCCCAGAGCCCGACGCGGGGCTCGAACTCGCAGACCGCGGGATCGTGACCTGGCTGAAGTCGGACGCCAACCGACTGCGCCACCCAGGCGCCCCTCATTATTGTTTTTGTAACGTTTTTGATTGCCGTACTGCGGGCACCACTGCTGCTGTTCTCGTTTCTGCAGCTGCTGTAATGGCTGCTGCCGTTACAACCATGCTACCAGTAATGGGCACTGAGGTGCACGGAGATAAAGGACACAGCCCAGGCAGTGAAACTTCCCTTTCAGTGGGGAACACGGGGTAGGCAGCACAAGACGTACTCAAAGAGTAGCAGAGAATAGATGCCTTAGGATGTGGGCGCGGAATATGCACTGCCAGAGTGAGAAAGGTTGTGGAGCTGGTGGATGCAGGAACATGGGGAGAGGAGAGCGAGGAATCCATACATATTGTGTACCTTCATGCACCACGCTAGGCACTTGGCTTACATTTATGTCAATCACTGATGCCTTGTAGTAACCAGTGAAGTCCTGAGTGACAGGACAGATAGGTGATTAAGAGTGGTTGAAAAAGTATACATATGTTGAAGTATGAGTGTAAAAGAGCATAAATATCGCCTGGTTTGTGATCATTCAGTGTGTAGACCTGAAAATTAAGACCCAGATTGGACCTTGACTGCTTTGTCATACAGTGGGAGTCCAAAGCCAGCCAGCTTCCCAGTTTGCTTCCATTTAGACTCTTCTTTTCGTCAGTAAAGAGGGAGAATGATTCTGAGTTTCTACAAAATTGCTTTTTTTAATCTCCTGGAATATTATAGCTAATTCATAAGATATTGAAGGTTATATATTATCAAGAAACCAGAGAATAAATACTGTAAGGTGATTTCAAACGCTTGATGGATGGATTTTAATTTTGTTCCAAGTCTTTCCAGTAGAGGGCAGTGAAGGGCTTTAGTTCTGTGTGGCTGTTGCAGGCAAACTGAGCAAAAGTTTTTGGTTTTGTTGAAGGTCTCAGACTTGGAGTAGAAGAATCAAAGGATGTTAGGTACCTACTGAGCCATGAGTTCCAGACACCTTAGTCAATTGGAGTGTTTTGTTTTGTTTTGTTTTGTTTTGTTTTGTTTTGTTTTGTTTTTTGTTTTACTGGACAGGAGGTTGAAGGGCGAAGGTTTAAATACTTATTATTACCATTTTCATTTAAAATTACATTTCTATTAACAGATCAAAGTAACCTAACTTTTGTATTTTACGTAATTCGTGTCAAAAACAAAAAAAATTCAATTTTGACTGCAGGATTAAGATCTTCCAGTATTTTACAGTTTAACTTAGTACAGTTCTGGGTAGTTGCAAACTGTTTCTAGAAAGTTCCTTGGTTCCTGCAGTTCTCCTTAAAGCCAGATAAATAGAGGGAACAAGGAGTCAAAGCATACGGTAACTGTGAAGGAGAAATGAACAGACCTCTATAACTATCATCATGTATTTTGGATTTAACAGAAAATACTGCTCTTGATTCAGGTCAGCCTGATGGTGCATGTTCTCTTATTACTTTTGATTCTTTTCCCCTTGTTTAAAAAACAACCAGACATATTGGTAGTATATCTTACTGAGGAGCTCACGTCCTCAAAGGGAGGAGGACTGTGGTGGTTGAGGATGTTATTTTTCCTACTTTAATACTGAGAAAAGTTGTCCAGAGAGGTTAAAATTATTGTCTTAACTGGGTCCGTAACTGAGACAGATATCCCTGAGAGTGTAAACTCATTAATATTTGCATTATTTTTACATTTTTTTTTCAACGTTTATTTATTTTTGGGATAGAGAGAGACAGAGCATGAACGGGGGAGGGGCAGAGAGAGAGGGAGACACAGAATGGGAAACAGGCTCCAGGCTCTGAGCCATCAGCCCAGAGCCTGACGCGGGGCTCGAACTCACGGACCGCGAGATCGTGACCTGGCTGAAGTCGGATGCCCAACCGACTGCGCCACCCAGGCGCCCCTATTTTTACATTTTAAATGCATTTTAGTTCAGAATGTAGAGTTCATTTGCTCAGAAAAGTGCTTTTGGTCACTAGGGGGTGCTATCAGAATAGCTCATTTAGGAACCTGTAGTCAGGAATTGTTCACTAGTCTATAGAAACCCTGCAGTTATAGATTTCTTCCTTTGGCATCATGCCTGTAAGGAGCTTGGGTTGTGTTTGTGTTGGGGGTGAATTAGGCAGAGGTGAGGGTAGAGGAAAGAACAAAGGGAAAAAGCATCATAATTTACTTTCAGTTCTGTTGACAAATTGAGTTAAAAACTGTATATATTTTGGGCAAGTGGTCTCTTTCTGGTGACATTGACTTAGAAGAAGAAAGGATCCATGGAGGAAATTGTGCTTTGCCAATCCTGGCAGCCCCAGTCACAGGGAACATCTGTATTTTAAGATTGAGGTGTCTTTTAAAGACACCAATTGCTTAAGAGAGTTTTTAAAACTTTTACAGATCTTGGAGACCCAGTTTTGGAAATTTGAAAATAATGACATACATTCTGAGAATATTGTAAAAGAGACTGTACAACTTTAGTGTGTAGAGAATGGATTGTTTCCTTTTACTGGAAATGAGTAGACAGAATCAGTGGCCCTATTTCACATCCAGTTAGATTTTTGACATCTGCGTGTTCACATGCATTTTGTGCTTCATTTTTACCTTTGGGAAATTTGCTAACTTTTTCCAAAGATTGAGTGCATCTGGTAACTTTGAAACTTAATTGGCATACATGGTGGCTGAGAGAAGTCCCTGACTGCCCGCTCATCTAGGGCTCGCTGAGCATCACTGATAATGTACGAGGTACTGACTCCTATTAAGGCAGTTTACCTTTTATTCACCTTTACAGCTCACTCTAATACTAGCATACCATTTCTTTTAAAAAGTAGATGAAGAATGGAATGGAAGAATGGAAAGGAATTTGGAATTTGGCTCTAGTTGCAGCAACACAAGTATAAAAAGTTAACAGATGCTTTTTTGATCTTGTCAAAACCCTAATGTGATTGTACCTTCTTTCTGGTTTCGAACCATTCAATGGCTTCTTGTCAATTATAGGGTAAGTTCCCACTTCTGCCACTGATGGGATGAGGTCCGCTCTCTTGTAGGACGAGGACCATACAAGGCTCCCTGTGTCTGGACAGCTCTCCAGCCTCTCCTTCGGCCACTTGCCACCTCACCCTTGACGCATCCTTACAGACTTACTGCTTCAGCTTTTCTACCAGTGCACTCCTGAAGTCCCACATGTGTTTTCCGTGGAGTTACATGTACTGGTCCCTCTGTTTAAGAGGCTTCTCCCTGAATTTGTATCTTTCCGAATTTAGCACCTGTTGTTTGAAGCTTTCTCATCCCATTCCCCCTACCCCATCCCAGCATCCAGATGTTTCATCAGTCTTTTCATCGGTGCCGCTTCTGTACCTGGGGCATCATCCCCCGGTTGCCCTTACCGCCGTTTGCTGTGACTTTCCTCACACATTTGCCTTCTGTACCAGACTGACCTTGCTGGGGTGCAGGAATAGTGTCATTTTGTTCCTGTGTCCCCAGTACCCAGGACAGTATCTCAGTCCATCTGGAATTGAAGTTCAGGAAGCGAGATTGCAGTCACGATGATGGCTTTTATAGGAGTTGATGTGAGAGCATGAGGGGGAGGCCAAGCTGATCTTTTAGCTTTAAAGGAGAATAGTTTTGAAGTTTTTTAGCTGGTGCTATCTTCTTGTATTTTAGGATCAAGACTCAGAGATTATCTGCTTTTTTTTTTTTTTTAACGTTTATTTATTTTTGAGAGAGAGAGACAGAGCATGAATGGGGGAGGGTCAGAGAGAGGGAGACACAGAATCGGAAACAGGCTCCAGGCTCTGAGCTGTCAGCACAGAGCCCGACATGGGGCTCGAACTCACGGACCGCGAGATCATGACCTGAGCCGAAGTTGGCCGCTTAACCGACTGAGCCACCCAGGCGCCCCAGAGATTATCTGCTTTTAGTAGAACATCCTTTGTCATCTCCCACTTGCTGAGACTCTTGGATGAGCCAGTTAGCTTGACTCACCTTTGCCACTTTATCATGAAGTAGAATGGTTAGATTTTATTATCGAACACTTATGCACCCTCCGCTTTGGGTTATTTGCCAGCATAAGTTTAGTCCCTAGCCTTTAGCATGTTCTATGTTGTCATTTTCTTTTCCCAGCCAGGGATGTACATAAGTTTTCCCATCTTTGGAAGCCATGTCTAATTAGGAAGATATTTTGAAACCAGACTTAGTTTTCAGTACTCTCTACTACTTTTGGATTACCTGTTACGTATCCCTGCATTTAAGGGAAACCATTTAAACTTAACTCTTTGGATCATGATCCTGAAATCTTTAAAGTGAATATGACATTTTGGAGAAGGGGAGGTGATAGAGATAGAAAGTAATGGAACTTTTGTGCGTATTGAGAAAGGAACACGTTTTATCCTCCTTCCTCCCTGCCCTCTCACACTGGTCATTCATGGTGTGGTGAGGCCAGCAGAGGGCATGGTACACATGCGTTAAAAATCCAGTGCTCCCAGGGGCACCTGGGTGGCTCAGTTGGTTGAGCTCCTGACGTTGGCCCAGGGCATGATCTCACAGTTCGTGAGTTTGAGCCCCCCATTGGGCTTTGTGCTGACAGCATGGAGCCTGGAGCCTGCGTCAGGTTGTCTTTCTCTCTCTCTCTCTCTCTCTCTCTCTCTCTCTCTCTCTCTTTCTTTCTCTGCCCCACTTCTGCTCATGTTCTCTCTCTCTCCAAAATAAATAAACATTAAAAAAAAAAACAAAAAAAACAAACCAACAATTTCCTGGGGGGGGGGCTGTGCTTGTTTTATGTTAATTAAATTTGATTGATAGAATAAAGATG